TACTTTCGAGCGCGAGCATGCCTTCATGCTCCATGTCGGCTCCAAGGTCCTGGTCAACCAATTCCTGCAGCACAAGGATAACTTCGATTCCCGCAAGTGCCCCTTGTCATTGATGCAGGCTACTTTATTGAACATGGTATTTGAGAGCTGGAGTGGTGACCCGAAGGGCCTTGAATGGACTTGCTCCATCAAGAGTCTCCTGGCTAACATGGTCGCCGGCAACCGGTACCAGCTCAAGTTACGGACCCAGGCTCGCCAGAATGTCCAGCCATCGCGCGATGAGTGGATTGAGGACGAATCCTGTCGTCGTACATACTTCGCCGTATACATCTTCTTTGGCATGTTGACGCTCACATTCAACCACACTCCCGCCATGAGCTTCGATGAGTTTGACGACTTGGAGCTCCCGTCTTCAGAGTCCCTGTGGAACTTGGATGCCGCTGATGATGAGAGCTGGCGCCGTGGCACGGTCTCGAGCGCCTTGACTGTGCGCGAGGCCCACGACTTCCTTTTCCAGGGTGAACAGACCCGCTACAGTGCTTTCGCCACTCGTGTTCTCATCAACGCCCTGTTCCTGCAAGTTTGGAGCCACAAGCGCAGCTTTGAGGCGCTCCAAGATGTGGTGACCGAGTACAAGCTGCGCCTAGCCCTCGAGACCTGGGAGAACTCCCTCGAGGTTTGCGAACCGGAAACCATTGTGGTCCCGCTTAGCACACCTCAGAAGGGCCACCCCTTGATCTTCAACTCGATGGCGGTCTACCGTAACACCCGCGCCCGCCTGGCAGTTGACCTGAAGTCCATCCAGGAGGCGATGCGGTACCACTCCTCTTACGAGGTGGCGGCTGCCATGACCGTCGCTCGTGAGAAGGTCAAGCGCTCGCAGGAGATGAACAAGGTTATTCAACAATGTTTCGAATGCATTGAGATTGCCGCTATTCAGGGCATTAATTGGGTTGCAAAGACCTCCGCTACCAACTGGAGTGTCGAGCACCCTCTCTGCGGCCTGGATCTGATGGTCATCCTGAGCCTCTGGCTCTACCGCCTGGAACATGACGATGAGCCGGCGACTGAGGCTGAACTGGCCCTCTACAACAAGGTCCGCAATCTATTTGATGACGATGCCATCGACGCCTTTGGCAAACTCAGCTCCACCGTCGCCCGTGTATGGGGTAACATCCTAGACGGCGTGGTTGTCTGGGGGTATGTTTTTTTCCTTAATCTCTCCTCACTTTGACCAAATTAACTAACTGCTTTATAGAATCACCAAGTTGATGGGCGAATCATTCAAGCTCCACTCCCAGGCCCTTGTCGGCTACGAAGATTCTCTCCGTGTTGGCAAGGACCAGCCGATCCACGCGGTGCCAACCAAGTCGCTTGCTAGCGTCGGCACTGCATACTAAATTTTCCGATCAATCTCGATCTTTTGCCTATATCTTGAAATTTCCGTTTTCGATTTCTTACTCTCATTTGTTGGACGTTTTTCATTGGGACACTTTCGGAAAGGGACATGCCAGTGGGCAGGCGGGGTGTTTGGCTCTGGAATACTTCGCCTTTTGATATCCCTCTCGGTGGTTCCTACTCTGCTTTTTTGTTTTGCATTTTCCCTGCTTTTTCTTACACCAGGGAGTCCAGTGTGGTGTTTCTGCTTTCCGTCTTCGACACCTGGCTGGTCCTGTGTGTACTTTCGCACTCCGAGGAGTTTGACTTTATGGTTCACATTAACCCCTAATCGTGCCCCCTCCGTCCATCTGCTTTTTGTGCTCTCGATACCTTTTGATTTTTCATGCGTTCGCGTTGCTTTTTTTTTTTCATTTCTTGCCATTTGCCTTTGCTTCTTTGGTTGGTTTTCCAACCACTGTATTTGATGTTAATTGCCTGCGCGCTTTTCAAACCCCGTCTTTTTTTTGTTTTTTTTTTTTAATGCTTTTTACGCTCAGCATTGCTTTGAAGATTTTCGCATTTTGTTTCACCTGCACATGTTTTTATGCCTTTTCCATGTACTATACGTTATCGATGAATTATCTGGCGGGGACAACCTTTTACCTACATGTAGACACTAGTAGATTTGAATTGTAGCCTTGGTCATTATCAGTCAGTTTGTTGTAATACGTAACTATCTTTAGTATCTAAACCCGAGATAGCCATGTGTTATGCCAATGCCAATTCCAATGCTGATGCTGATGCCAAAAAAAAAAGAACTACTTTCCAATAGCAACAAACAACCGATCACCAATATCTCCAATACCAGGCACGATCATTCCCTTCTCATCAACACCCTTATCAATAGCACCAACCCAAACCTCAACATCCCCCCAAGTCCCCGCAGCACGCTTAACCCCCTCTTCCGAAGCAAGTAAACTAATCATAATAACCTTCTTGACACCCCAATCACGCAGCAACTGAATTGCCGCCTCGGCCGTCGCACCAGTAGCGATAACCGGGTCCAACAGCACAGCCAGGCTTGCAGCTGCAGTGTTGGTGGTTGGGTTCAGTGAGGCTGGTGAAGCTGGTGAGAGCTCCGACCGGTGGAAGGGGAGGTTGTTGTAGTATTCTACGGGTTGGAGGGAGACCTTTTCGCGGAACAGACCCAGGTGGTAGACTGGGACTGGAGTTGGGAGGAGGTCGTTTAGGGCTGTGGGGGCCGTGTAAGCGGGGGACGGGCTAAGAGTGGATAAGATAGGGGGGGACGGGTATGTGATAGGGGGAGATAAGTAAATGAAATTGGATTGTAAATGTGGTGATTGGGATTTGGGATTTGGGATTGGGCTTGGAATTGGTAATGGGAATTGAGGAAGGAGTAATAGGGTAACATCGCAGGAAATAACATATGGGTTACAGTTGCACTGCTTGAAAGGAAGAGTATACGGAATAAAATTGAAATCACTCACCATCAACCATTCCTAGACCAGATCGGAGGATTGGCACTAGAGCCAGGTCTGCTGGGTCGATACCCTGGGTTTCATACTCGATTCCGAGAGGGGTGGTGTCCTGGAAATGAGTGTTAAAGAGATCCATAGCTAAGTGATGGATTCTAGTGGGATCTATTTACCGTTCCTGTTTTGACGAGCTTCAGCCCTGAGAAGGCTTCCACGGCTAGGATATTGGCAATGTCATGGACCAAGCCTCTTGTCTCACGCGGGGTGGTGGAAGATGAGCGGATTAAAGAGAGCTTGGCTTGGAGACAGGGGTGGGAGGAGACATGAACATTTGATGGGAGAGACATGATGAAGTGTAGAAGTTAGGAAGAGGAGAGAAGATAGAGAGAGAGAGAGAGAGAGAGAGAGAAGAGGAATAAGAAGTAAGTAGAGTATTATGTAGGTAATTGTAAAGAGCCTTTATCTTCCCCCCCCTCTTATCCCTATACAAACTGACCCGCCAATCTTATCGGACTCCACCTGATCTCCCGGTCTCCGGTTCTTGGCAATTTTTACCCTTCCTATAACCCTTCACTCTGGTAATGCCATCAACTACCGAAGAGGTAGAGACTCCCTATATCTACCCTTTGACAGATGTCCAAGGGAGGGGCAATCTAAACGAATGGCCAAGCTCGGGTGACCACGCACCTGCACAACGTGCACCTGCATCTGCGCAACCCCTCTCCAAATACGCAACCCACATCTACACCGTCTCCTATTTAATCTTCTTCTCGCTCCTGGGCACACTATCCCGCCTAGGTCTACAGGCACTGACATTTTACACAGGTGCCCCCGTCGTGACAGGGGTGCTATGGGCGAATGTAGGCGGAAGTCTGGTAATGGGATTTCTGAGCGAAGACCAGAATCTATTCCGCGAAGAGTGGGGCAAACCAGCCAAGGAACAAGCTACAGAACCAGTCGAGAACGAGCCTAAGATCAAGAACCAGAAACATATGGCCGTGAAGAAGACTATCCCGCTGTATATTGGTCTGACGACTGGATTCTGTGGTTGCTTCACTTCCTTCTCGTCCTTTATTCGAGATGTCTTCCTCGCGTTGGCAAATATCCTCCCCGATCCGTCGCTGCCGACTGGATCGCATATCGCATCCCGTAATGGTGGGTATAGCTTCATGGCCCTGGTCGCTGTGATTCTACTCACCGTGTCGCTGAGCCTGTCGGCGCTCATCTTCGGCGCGCATCTTGCACTGGCTCTAACACGCGTAACACCCACCATGCCATTCGCATTCACGCGACGAGTCCTCGACCGTGTTGTCGTCGTGCTTGCCTGGGGATGCTGGCTCGGAGCCGTCTTCCTGGCTATCTGGCCGCCGGACCGACATAACGGCCCGGATGTGTGGCGCGGCCGGGCGGTGTTTGCTCTTGTGTTTGCACCACTTGGTTGTCTTCTTCGGTTCTATGTCTCGCTGCGTCTGAATAGCAGGATTCCAACTTTCCCGCTCGGCACGTTTGTGGTTAATATGTTTGGGACTATCATTTTGGGTATTTGTTATGATTTGCAGCATGTCAGTGGTCTTGGGGCGGTGGTTCCTGCTGCTCTGACGGGTTGTCAGGTGTTGCAGGGTATTATGGATGGATTTTGTGGGAGCGCGACTACTATCAGTACTTGGGTTGCTGAGTTGAAAGGACTGTCTCATCGGCGCCATGCGTATGTGTATGGAGCTGCCAGCGTGCTTGTTGGACTTGGGTTCTTGGTTGTTATCATGGGATCGTTGCTGTGGACGCGTGGATTTGACAAGCCTGTGTGTGGATAGCTGGTGATGTATAATATAATGTAAAGCATAATGTAAAGTATAGCCAAAAGGATTGAGAATAACAACTATATGAGAAAGATAGCAGAATTGACATGGACAATCCCTACAGACGAGAATTACCACCACGGCCATCAACGCAGACCTCAAGGATCCTCGACAGCTGCAAGGGTGTTCAAACTCCAATTTGACGCACGGAAGCTCATTTGTGCCAGCGTGGACCCTCGCATTGTGGGATGGCCACAAAGTATCAACACCCAACGCCATACCTCCCTCCTATCCTTCATACAACATAACATATAGCATCATAACCCCCCTACTCTCGACTAGGCGCAGGCCCAATCTCAACAGGCGGACCACTCTTACCCCCAAACCTCCTCGCCGGACTCGCCGACCGAAACCCATCATCACTCAACTTCTGACCAAAACTCCTCCCATCCAACGCCACCCCAACAAAAGACTCAAGCACAATCCCACCCCCAACGGGACTGACAGACCCAACAGCTCCCGCAACCCCACTCCCAAGCGGACTAGCAGGAGTCACAGGACTAAGTGGCGTACCCCGACTAAACGGACACCTGATAAGCTGTGTTCTCGCATTCCACTTCCCATTCGCATACATCTCCATCCCGTGGACCGGCAACTCAGCACGGTTCTCAGGAATACCGATGCGATCAAGCATTTTCTCTTGCACGGCTGCGTTGGGGTCTGCGTCTTTGGGACTTTGAGCTAGGCCTGCTGTTACGGATGTTGTTGTTCCTAGGGGTGGTTGGGATGGGGTTTTGTCGCGGTAGGCTTTTCGGCGGGCGAGGTCTTGGGCGTGTAGACGGGTTTGGGATACTGGGGGTTGGTTGTTAGGGGAGTAAAACAGAGTAGGTTTGATAATAATTTGATCATGTCGAAGTGGGATTGGAGGTGTAAATTTTGGAGAGATAGAGATATATGAAAAGAAGTTGGAGAGCTCACCACGCCAGAGAGCGATATAGGCACCCATAGCTACTACGAAGAGAGAGAGGAAGCCGAACATCAGTCCTAGTTCGTGGCGGAGCGAGGGCATCGGCGTGTAGGGTGGGTATTCGTCCATGGCGATGGTGAGGGTTGGGTCTGTAATATAGTTGGTAGTTGTTCTTTGGAGTGTAGTGAGGGGATATACTCACTCCTATGGAAATGAGAAATCTCTCTTTCTAGTGGGATTTCGAGAACTGAGCTCGAAGAGAGGAAACCAGAATGTCAATGTGGAGTGCAGCGTAGGATTTTGACAGCTCCCGAGTTCTTTGCGTCTGCCCTGGTAATGGGTGTCAACTGCAGTCGAAATCGAAAAGGGAGAGAATGGGTTTCTGTTTCAAACGTTGGGCCAATAGACACGGTGAGAAAGATGAAGATCAAAACATCCTTTGAGGGTGAAATTCTGAATTTCGAGTAACAAAGAAACCCCCAAGTCCGAGTCCAACCACAAAAGAGGCGTAGACTAGCAAACACAAAATCTGAAAGAAAAGGAAAAGCAAAAAGGTATACAACATAGTCAATTCGTATTCACCGTATCTATATACACTAATTAGGTAAATCCCATGTACACTGGGCACAGGGGCAGAAACAAAAAGGTATCATGTACAACATGCGTACAACATGCAACTCTATACTCCCGACAATACCAAGTACACATAGTACCTCGGCAATCGGGCAATGCAATAGGAAGAAAAAAAGGGAGCTCAAAGATCCAATCCCACGCCAGAACACAAGGCCATGGATGCAAAAATAGACAAAATGGTAATAATCCGCTGCAAAAGACCATAAGAAAATGAAAACGAAGAAGGGTAGAAGTATGTCGAGCAGAAAAATAAACAAAGTTCGAGCGGTGCCCGGCGTTTCACGTGTCGTGTCAAAAGAGAAGAAGGTCGCGGAAAAAGGTATATATATGAAAAGTCGGAAGATCGCAAGCTGGGGGAGTTCGTTTCATCGCAATTCATGGCTAATCACCCTAGCATCACAGCCGCCAGAGCAGTAAAGGTCAACCCGATAGCCATGCCAATCCACGGTGTTTGACCGAGGGAACCCTCACTGCGCGCCTGGAGAACATAGCGAGCAGCGAGCAAGCGCATCTCATCGGAGGGCAGATTGCGGTCCGTGAACGGAGCAAACTGTTCTCGTGTATGGAGTTCTGGTAATGAGACGGCGGGGGAGTTGTGCGCGAAATCGGAGGAGAGGCTGGCGTCTGCGGGTTGTTGTGAGTCGGCGAGGACGACGGCTGGGGCGAGAAAGGCCAGAAAGGTAGATGGCTTCATTCTGGGCAGATTATAGGTGTATAGTATAGGAATAGACTGGCGCGCAAATGCTTTGCGTTGTTGCCTACGAGGAATAAGCAACGCCAAGCTTGATGGTGCGGGTCGTGTATGACGGGGGTCTGGAGTTGGCAAGGCAACAATGCTGCAGATAAGGTGGAGAGGGTTGGAAGTGATGATATGGTATGAGTCTCTCTCAGTTTTCGAATATAAGTTGTGAAGGGCTCAGAGCATGCCACTTAAGTTCGAGTGTGTTGTCAGGCAATCGGGGGAATAGGGGGCTGGACACGGGAGAGAGTTTCCGGGGAGTTTCGCCTTCTCTTATCGGAATCCAACTCACTATTAGCCGTAGAGAAGGATTGAAAGAGAAGAAAAGAAAAAAACCCCAAAACCCAAACAGCCTAGGGGGGGGGAAAGGAGATTAAGGGAAAATCAAGATGAAGCCGATCAGGGCGAGGGCTTGATTGGCTGAGCCGGTTTTTGGCTCTCTTTGGCTCTGAGGTCCCTGGGCCGTCTAGAGTGGGGGTCTGTCCCTGAATTTGGTGGACTCTGATTGGTTAAGAGTCCCGTGTCTGAGGCTATTCAGTGTTTATTTATTCTTTAATATTCTTTTAAAACAGTTTTGATATTGGATATGTGATGTTAGGGTGATTCAATAATTTCATATTTGCTTGCATAGTATACTCCGTACATAGATTATACTCTAAATACAAATTCCATTTGAAAAAAAAAAAATTCTAATTATAGTTCACCGAGGCTTAACGGACAACGCCACAAATGATCGTCAATGCAGCCAATTTCGAGCGAATAAGACAAAGACTCGGCGCAGGGAAGATGACGACGCGCATATATGGCCAAAATCAAGACATTTAGGACCCTTGCCCTGGGTAGATCAAAGGATGAACCATTGATTTTCCAATGGGGTTTGAGGACGTGCATTGCAGTCCAACTGTTGACCTTAATATCCGCTATAATGTGCACCCGGGCGTTTTGTTCATGCTGTCCCTGCGCAAAGGCACCTGCAGTCTCAAAAATGAGCCGTTGAGATCAAAATGCCGAAGACACAAAGAACACATGTTTAGGTTCAGGGGCCCGTGGTTTCCTCGGTTTTGCAGTGCGCACAAGCCTTTGCGGTCTTGTCTGTGGGGGTATCCGTTGTGGCTTCTCTCTCCCCAGAGACCGGAGATTGCGATTGTTTAGATTGACTGGCCCGCAAGTTTTTCAGCCTGACCTGCTCTCGCGCTCGGCGAACTGCAAGACGTATATCGCTGGGCAGCGAATTGGTTTCAATTAAACAGTCCGCACAGGCGCGGCAGTAATACCCGGACTGTGGGTTCTTCGACTCCACGAGTCGGCGCTTGCTGCTGGGGGCGGTGATCTCACCGCAGTGCAGACAAGGGCTCTTCAAGACTCGGGGGTTGCTTTGCATACGGGTCTCTCTGAGCTTTCTGAGCGCGGCAATTTTGACGGTGCTGGGTAAGGCGTCATTTTCAAGTAGAGACCGCGTGCATGGCTGGCAGTAGTAACCTGCCGCAGGATTCTGGGGTTCAACAAGCCTACGCTTGCTGCTGGAGATGGTTTTGTCACCACAGTGCATGCAGGGATATTCACCGCGGCTCTGTTTCATCTGTTTGGGGGATTTGGAATGGTTGTGAGCCATGGATTCTCTCGAAATATCTTCTGCTTTCTTTTTTTGGGCGGCAGTAGGACGCCTACTCCGCATCTCTTTGCGGTACTGGAACGCTGCGAGATCTTGCTCGGTTGGGAGGTTACCGTGATGATTGAAATGTCGAACGCATGTCCGGCAGTGAAACCCAGCAGCAGGGTTATTCGTGTCAATGAATTTACGGCTACTTCTCGGGGCAGTCATCGTGCCGCAGTGCCTGCATGGACTTATTTTGCTTGCCTCTCCACTCGCCCTGACCAGTCTTCGCCGATGGATCGCTTCAAGTTGTTCCTCATTTGGTAGATGGCCATGGGTACGGATGTTCCGAACACACGCTTTGCAGTGCCAGCCGCTAGAGAGATTGCCAGCTTCGACGTGTCTTCGAGCCTTGGGAATGGTGTTTGCCCCACAGTGCACGCAGAGTTCTGGCTCTTTGGCAGCAGTCGTCTCATGGCGACATTGTTGAGTCCATGATCCCTTGCCATGGCTCCGGGGAGTGTGTGCAGGTCTCAAGAGATCACCGAGCAAGCTCCGTAGCGAAAACGAAGGTTTGTTGGCATGGTGCGGACTTGTCGCAGACCAGCGATGTGTGCAATGGGTGTCGCGTAATTGAGAAAAGGATCTTAGGTGTTGTGTTATATTGTGTCGTGTTTGCGGTCCATTGCGGAAGAATTGCGCATAGGATAGGTTGCACTGATATCCTAGAGGACGCAATGACATGGTGAAGGTTCGTGTAGCACCAGAGACCCTTGATTTGGTCTATGCAGGCATTTTAGAGGGAATTTGCGCAGTTGAATTAGGCCGGCTTGTGGCTTGAGCTCGACTGTAATTGCTCTTGGGCATGGAGGATGTAATGGTGGACAAATTATTTGAGCTCGACACGCGCAAACAAAGTTCGTGCTAGCTGATCCAGGGCAGATGGGCCTTGGCATTGTTAGTGCCTTAGTTTTCAGGCTTACATGAACATTTCTAAGCTAGATCCGCCATTGAAAAGTCCTCTGTACAGTTTATATACATCTAAAATGACATTTAAAAAGAATGTACAAGCACACATCGGACTGTTTTTACATATAACATTCCTAATATCATGTCTCTAGATTTGTCTACTGAAGTTCGCCACGAACAAATTATATCACGTGACTACGTGTCGAACAGAATGTTTGCTTCTCTTTGATATGCACTATGTAATCTATTAGGGGTTGAAGTCGCATCCTTAAGGATGAAAACTAACCCTAGTCTAGCCAGTTTCAGTGATTGTCAAGTTAATAACCAAAAGGATTGCTGCAATAAGTTCGCTCGAATTTCTTTCCGTTCATCATAAGGTACCTTGGGTAGAGGATTCAAAGCATCTCATCCCAGTTCGGCGTGACTGTGAACTTGCCAGACAATTGGCCCATAGACCAAACATTTTTTTGTGTATCTTCCTCCGGCTCTGGTGGCGCCTTCGACATGATGACGGCTTCCTGGACGAAACCAACCGGCGCGCCGCGATCTAACTCCATACTGATTCCACCCCAATCTAGGGTCACACGGCCTGACTGGTGTACGTTCAATTTGCCGACACGTCCTGTAGGCAGAGACCAGGGTTGGCCGGCCGTGAAGACGCTGTTTTCTTTTTGTTCGGTTGGTTTGGTGTTTTCCACGATCTCCACGTCCTCGCCTCCTTCACGCTTGATCTCGTTCTGGGGAGCTGCGGCTGCGGCTGCAGGTTGTTGTTCGGCGGAACCAGCGATTTTGAGGTAGGGGGTCATCGGTGGGAATTGCATGAGGAACATTTGGCCATGCAGAGGGTTGTCTTCTTCCTCTTCCTCTTCTTTCTTTTCGGTTGCTTCGTCACCATCTTGTCCTTCCGTTGCGGTACTTGCTCCTTCGGCAGCTCCTTCAGTGGCTTCTGCTTCTGTGGTAGCCTTCTTTGACTCCTTAGGGACGAGAAGATCCCTGATAATAGCCAAATCTTCCATGTGTCGGTCATATTCGTCGATTTCCTCTTTAGTGTGAAGTAGACTGCGTGGGTCTAGAAGTTCGGGTTCAGGCGTTTGTTGAGTCGATCGTAGCTCTGTTGTACTTCTCTTTGTTGGGCTCATGCTCTGAGCCGAGCGCACACGGACGTTATGCTCCGGAAGGAAGTCGTCGTCATCCGCATGTGGAATAGCATCCCGCATAGTTGTGTCGTCGTCCTGGGGTTCGGGTTTGACCTTAGTAGGTGTACGGCCGACATCCTTCGCGGCTTTTTCCTTCTCTGCTTTTTTGCGGAGATCGGCGGTTCTGCTCGTGCTGGATTCCATGTTGACACTGATAACTCTTTCCTCGTGTTCATGTCGCTCAACACGGACGGGACGAAGTCCGCGTTCGCCGCTCGACCTGCTGGGTTGTTTTCCCTTGAAATCCTTCGGTGTATCCCAATCTTCATCGTCGCTATCGAGATTGATATGATCGATACTGACACGGAGTGCATTCTCCTCGTCGTCTGAAGAGTCATATGCGCGTCCACGGTTGTTGCCTCCAGAAAGACCAGACCGATTGTATCCTGAACCTGCGCCCCCTGCGCCTCCTCCATATCCTCCACCACCACCTCCACCACCTCCACCAAATCCACCACGACCTCGCTTGCCTCCTCGTCCACCAAATCCACTCATGCCCATAGCCATGGGTCCACCACGACCACGGAAGCCACCACGACGAGCAGTACCACCACGGCCACGCTGAATAGCGGCTGCCTCCTTCAGACGCTCATTGTATCGTTCTTGCTCCAGTCGCTCTATCTCCTCTCGCTCCTGCTTGCTGCGACGCCCAACGGCCTTCGGTTTGTATTTCATGACTGGCTTGGGCGGCTCGCCACCAAGCGCCGACGGCGGCCGACTGCTGGGCGCAATACTGCCGGAAGGTGTGCGTTTGTTCAGTGATTGAAGTCGTTGCACTGAAGCTCGACTAGCAGGACCGGGCGCGCCGGTTGCCGGGGGAGCATTTTGCGCAGTGCCCCCGCCAGCGGGAGTTGGAGTGGTTGTGTCACTTTGAGCACCGCTGTTGGCGGCCCCTCCACGGGCGCTTCCACGAGAGGCAGCTTTGGGAGGCATTGTCGTCGCTTTTCAGACAAGGCGCTGAATGCGGCTTGCTGGGCGGTTGGAGAAAACTTCGTGTAGAGAGGCTGGTTTGCGCACCGCGTTACATACAGACCCAGCGTTGGGATAACTAGATCCTGTTTCTGGTGACACGCGACAATGCGACTGGAAATAAGCAAAGTACCGTTTCGTAAAAGATGTGCGAGCGTTTTGAGGTTCGAGAAAGTTGAGCTCTTCAAAAAAGTTGCGGGGCCAATCACACCGCCCTTGTCATGTGACTCATCCCGCCATACCGATCGATCGACACGCTCTGGCTAGGCTACGATGATGCTGAATATAATTCTGGAACATTGAATTGCACAATGAGAATTGAAACCCTTCCATTGACTCCCTGACTATTCAGAAGACGAAATAAAGCAAGATCAGCACAGCTTCTACAACTTGTCACCTTTGGCCTAGCCTAGCCCTCCCTTGGAAGTATTATATACTTCCGCTACTAGTTCACCGTACACCACACCACACACATGAAACCGACATAGACAATGATAAATAACTCAGTAGCATTGATTCCGAATGAGCGAGTGGATGTAACAAGAAGCATATAGCCCGCAGAAACACTAAGACGCCGAAGGGACACAACAACAACAACAGATCAACCGCTTGGCAGTGTATAATGGAGGGAGCATGGCTTGCAACCAGTGAAGGGAATGTGGAATGCGAAGGGCAAATGATGGTAGTATGCTAGTATAAGGACTGTCTCTGGCGCTGGCCAGAAGAGGGCGAAAGGAGAGAGTGGGGACGGATGAGATTGGCCCATAGTGAGAGGATGGTAAGACGATTGAGAGATCCCATGGCCACAAAGAAGATTGGAGGTGCGAACAGTTCGGCGCTTAGAGATAGCGGGAGTAATCGCAACCTGCAGCTCCACTAGCGCTTCCGCTTCTTATTCTTGTCTGCTATAGACGAAGAGATAGGAGGAGTCGCAGGCGTTAATGAGAACTCCTCCTCCTCGTCCTCATCCATCTCTTCCCCGTTCTTCTTCACGGGGACACCCATATGGCGACCGTAACGCCCTTTGCGACCATTGCCCTCATCCTCACTGAGACAGCCGTCAATTCCAATGCCGGCATCCTTGCAGCGTCCACAGGGACGCTGACGGTCACAGCCCTTCTTGCTCTTGCGGCATCGCTGGCAGCGAGGCTTGGTAGATAGGTCTTCCTCATCCGCACCGAGCTGGTGCTGGAAGTTGACCGAGCCCCCCGAGACCTTTCGGGAGGAAGCCGGGCTGAGAGGTGGAACAGGCGCAGCTGACTTCTCGGATGATTTGCGAGGAACAGGCATAACAGTCTTGCTTTTGTTCAGTTTTGCAGGTGCAGGCTTCTGGCTCCGAACCTTGAAAGATGTGGGGCGGCTCTTCGGCTTCTTTGCCTTGGGTGCAAACTCCTTGTAAAGAATATCCTCTTCAGCTTCACTTTTGATACCATCATCTGCACCATCCGAGCTGTGGTCGCTGCTATCAGCGCTGGGAAGGATGTCATCCAAGCCCTTGAGGTGACGCTTGATGGTTCCCGGCGGCAGCATTGGGCTCGAGTCTAACCTTTGGCGACGAGCTGGCAAGTCATCCTCGTCCTCGCTAAAGTCTTCCCCATCGCTGGTAGCACCAGTGGATGAGGCAGCGTCAGCGGCACCACTGAAGGCATCGTCCAATGTCGAGGCAGAGGTGCGTCCGTGAGAAAAATTGGACGCATCGCCTAAACGTATCAATTGCATCGCCACATCCTCATCGGAGATGCAGCTTGCAATGGTGGGGTCAGGTGTGGGCAATACACCTGGACCACTCACTCGGCTAGCCGAGTTGTTATAGGCTCCCGTGTCGCGCATGCGATTTGAATGGTCCGGGACCACGGGAGTCGCATAAATCGTATTGCGTCCGGAGTGAACACCATATTCGCTATGGCCATAGCTTTGCGGCGATGGAAGCGCATGCTGATAGCCATACGGGCGTTGGGTTGGGCGTGCGAAAGGCGACCCAGCGCCTTCCTGGCCAATCGATCGACGTTGAGGAGAGATTGAGGAGGTGGAGGTAGTGAGGGGCACTTGGGGAGGAACAAACAGCGGGAGCTCCTAAGGGGAACAGACTGATTAGTGACAGTCTATGATAAAAGAACAAGTCTTGTCGCATGAGTCACTCACAGAGCTATCGAACTTGGGACGTTTCCGACGACCATCTTGTAGTATATTCTCCATGCTGATATCAGAGCTAGCAAATAGTTCATTGCGAGCTCTGCGAGCATAAGCGCTCTCGGTATCGCTATAGCCATCATCGTCATGGAAACCTCCGTGGATGCTCGACGCCCGGCTTTTGTTGCCCGCGCGGGAGGGAGGCTTGTGCTGAGAAGCGCTGCGAAGACTCCGGTTCGACGGAGAGGTGCTGCGCTTTCTCGCAAGCCGGGAGGCCGGCCGTGAAGGCTGATCCAACACTGGCGCCATGCCATCTACCATCTGGAAAGGCTCTGCCAGACTGGGCCGCTTGCGAGGCTCGATATTGAAACCGTTATAGAAGTGATCCCCATATGGTTGAATGGGAATGACTCGCACGTATACAGTCCTGTTGTTCTTGAGATTCTCGTACCTTGCGATGAGGGTGGTCCCATGTTCATC